TATATATATATATATATTACAGACAACCCACTTATGGTATATTTAGACCTTTAAAAAGGCATCCAAATGTAAACACGAACCAGTTTTGCATCCAGACAAAAGCAAAAATGATATCAAAGATGCAGATTTAAATGTTATTCCCTGATACTTACAGCCTGAGATCCACGTATCGATTCCCCACACCTTATAAAACCTTCCAGGTTATCCGGAGTTCAAAAGAGAAGGAAGTACGGTATCTTCTGAAAGTATTTTTCAAATGTTGCTTTGTAAACATCTCAAAATTTTCTTAATTGGGATTTTTACATGATTGGGTAAAGGATGCTTACAGATTTTATAGGAATAAAAAATACATATTTGTGTTTAGACTCCCTGAGTATCTTATCATTAATCATGAGAAATTTCTTATTATTAATTTTAATTTACTTCAATTAATGATGTTTTAACCCCCCCAAAACGACAGCATTGCAGGGATTATTTTGACTATTTTCTCCACTAGTTGTTCCATCAATTAGGATTACACAAAGGGTTTTTTACTGACCAGGAGAGCTTTGAATGTAACTGAAATATAAATGCATGGCACACTCACTTTTCAGATTTCTATTTGCAAAAAAGAAAGATTGTGTATAATTTTCATTCTGCCTAACCATGGTGCACTACTCTGTTAGTCTGTCACATAACATTAAGTAAAATAAATTGAAGTTTGTGTTTTAAAGTGACAAAATGTGAAATTGCAGAAGTTGCCATCAGGCTGTGAAGAACATGATTTAATTGACAACTAATTTAAATGTAAGGAAATACTTTTCATTGGCTGCAACTCTATTTCTCTTTCAGCAACCAATGCTGAAAGAGAAATCGGAGGAGAAAACAGCTAATACTGCTGTCTGTATTTTGATAAGCGTTTCCTTCAGAAAGCAGGAAGTCTGTGATTAAAGTGATTATTTTGCATTTGTTGTTTAAGATGGATTGACTTGTTTTCTTCAGATTGGGAGCTGTTCCTTATTGCTCACCGAGCTCTCTGTGTTTTCTCATGAAGCCCAAAGGTAAAGTTGGAACAAAAGGAAAGAAGCAGATCTATGAGGAGAACGAGGCAACGCTCAAGTTCTACACCAGAGTCATCCTGGGAGCCAACGTGAGACACACACACACACATTCATCTTGGTCTTTCTGCAAAAAATATCCTATTAATTGATGTAATTTTTAAACTTGGCATTGTTTTGCAATTGTGAAAAAGAACAGGTAGATTATTAGTGTCACAATCAAAGTTCAGGTCGATTTAAGACTCCTTTCATGCTCTTTCTTACAAGCCAAAACATAAGTTAGGCAAAAAAATAAATAACTCAATAAAATCAGTTTTGGGAAGGTGAAGGTATGAAAAACTAGCTGATGTTGAGAAGTTTGAAGAAGCGAGATGGTTAAAGCTCCTTTAGTTCTCTGTTGGTGTTCTTTTTTTTTTGCGCCAGGAAATATTTCCGAATGAGGAGAAAAGGGTAGAAACTAGAAAGCTTCTCTCCGCCCGCTGAGCGGCAGTGCACAGCAACAGGTAGGGTAGAAGCAGTTCAATGTTAGTGTGTCCTCCTTGCAGCCAGAGAAGACTCCAATCACATTCTGGCATCTTATTAAAAAAACAGCTGAAGCCATAAGATTGCTATGAAAAAATATTGGTGGTATCCCCTGGTGCTGTTATCCGAGTGTCTAAATTAGATAAATGGGTCCAAAACCCTCTGTTTGGGAGACCTTCAGGTTCAATATGATATGTAAGGTTTTACCAGATCACAAAAATACTAAAAAGAAATTAAAGAGAAAAAAAAAATGTTTTAATTTTGATCAATTAAGCTGATTCCTCTTAAGTGTTGCAGAGTTTTCTATAAGTTTTTTTTCCCCCATTCAGTATATAAAACACCTGTTGCACTAATCTAAACAATAGAAGATAATTTTCAGTTCATCACGTGACTAAGTTTCTTACTTTTGAATACCTTTAAGTGGAAAAGTTGGTTTTGAAGCAAAAATGTTCCATAATTATTTTAGGACACTGATTGGTCACAAATGAAGTTCCTCGCATTTGATTGGACGAATCATGGCGACAATCAGACATTCTGCCCTATCAGAGGTCTTTAATAGAAAACTATCACTCACTGCTTAACGAGAACAAAAAACATTGCTCCGTTTTTGGCAAGTTTCCCCACAACTAATCAGATTTCTCCTGCAGGCAATATATGCTGCTGTGAATTTTTTAGTTTTCTACAGTTCCTCCACCTTTTGGACCTGGGTGAGTCAATTCAAGCTTCTCCTAAACTGTCAGAGCACATCTTGTCGTTTTTCTTGGGCCTGAACTTGTCACATACACACGCACACACGCTTCCCGAAGCTGCTGCTGCTGTTCGCGCTCGCCGTGTACGTTGGGAGCTACCGCTCCATGTCGGCCATGGCCAAGCCCGCGTTTGCTGACGACGGGAGTCTGCTGGATGGAGGAATAGACCTAAACATGGAGCAGGGAATGGCAGAGTCAGTTTTTATTTAATGTAGTAGATAAATTACAGTGTTAGTGTTTGCGAGATGATAATTTCTGCTGTTTTCTTTTTTTGGTTTTAGGCACCTAAAAGATGTAATCTTGCTCACTGCCATCGTTCAAGTGCTTAGCACCCTCTCTGCTTATTTCTGGTACCTTTGGCTGCTGGTGAGAACATTTTCCAGAAGGTGTCAAGAAAATTCTTACCATTTCTGATGCTTTCTTCCCTGATAACATCTTTGTGTGTGTGTGTGTGTGTTTCAGGCCCCAGCTCGGGCTCTTCACCTGCTTTGGGTGAACTTTTTGGGCCCCTGGTTTATGGCGGAAAACCCCTCGGCGCCGGAGGAGGTGAATGAGAAAAAGCAGAGGAGGCAAGAGCGCAGACAGGTGAAGCGGTTCTGATGCTGCGGAGCGGACTGAGCAGTATTTTTATACACAACACAATCTAATATACAGAAAGCGGGGAACTCATAAGTTATGCAGGAAGAAATTTTTTTGTTATTACGTTAAATCCAGTTGAAATCTGATACAGTGGAATCTTGTTTTCCGTGTTTGTTTTCTTTCCGCTTTCTCCTGTAATCAAATTTTCTCCCTAAATTATGAAATGAAATGTTCCCTATTTAGATGATGCCTCCGTCCAAATCGCATTCGTCTTCATGACAAGATTTACGAGTTTAGCTCTTGCAGAATGCACCCCCCCTGCTGATCTTTTTTTTTTTTTTTTGTTCCACACCACTGTCCAAAACAAACTTTTGTAATGTCATGTCTTTAATTTTAATTTTAGTTTTCCTTGTTTTTAAGTCCTCTGTAACAATCTATGTATTGTTGTCACAAAATCAAACTTGAAAGCCTTAATAAGAGGATGGGAACAACTTTGCAATAAAAATTCTCCGTGTGCGTTTGTGAGTTTTTTAATGACAGAAGAGCTGCAAAACGCAATGATGAATTAAAACTGCAGTGACTTTTTTTCTAAAATGGTTAAAAACATTTTTAGTTAAAGAGTTCTCCAACATGAGTTTAGATATTTCATACACTATTCATGAATAAACACAACAAAAGTGTTTTCATTCCGGTGTGTAATATATTGTTCGGTACATATAAAGGATACCTTTTCTTTTAGATAAACTAAAGGAACTATGATTCTTGTATTTCCTATTTCATATTAATTTGTTGCTTAGAAACCAAATCTACAAAACTTTTTGGTGACCAGTACATCCAGTTCTTTGAAGAGGCTATGGTCAAACTTTCTGAGGCAGGAGCAACACGCCCAACCAGCCACCTCAGTGTGGGTCAATAAAATAGACTTTCCCTCTATTGTATGATAATCTCCTCTTTGAAGAGTTCAAATATAATAACAAAAGGTAAAGCAAAAGTGCACCTTTTTTTAATTCTAGGTTTTTTCTGAAGCTCCTTACGTTCTTTAAATGCAGCCAGAAAAGTGCACAAATAATTTCCACTGTCATGTTCTTTGTTAAACAAAAATGAAGTACAAACAGAAGAAAATAACTGCTTTTACCGCATGACCAGATGCAGTCAGTTTTCGGCATCCCTGTGGAGGAGATTTTGCTCCACTTTTCTTCACAGTGAGTCACTGAGCTTCGTTTTTGCGAAGTTCCCTGAATGTCTCACTGCAGGATTTCAGTCTGCGTTACGTTTAAACGGCGAATCTTTGCGCCGTCCTGTTGCAGATTAGCTGCTGCGTTTGTTGTCATGTTAATGGACAGACGGCGTAACATTTGACCCTGTAGAACATGAAGGTATTCAGTGGAGTTCATGTCTGACTCAGTCACCACTGACCATGAAATATACTCTGATGGCTAATTCACAACATTTGATTTGAAATGGGACCACACCTCATACGCACTGCTTCTCTGTGTGACGTCATGGAGAAATAAAAACAAACCAGCCACGATGTCGGAGAGAGGACTGTGGAGCTCCTTCGGTCGGGTTTTATCCTGGATTACAATTTCCATATGTCTATTGTGTGAACTGTGATGATCAACATCGAAGCAAAGCAGTAAGATCATGCGAAGATGTTGGTTGTACCAACAGGGGCTGAAAAACCATTCAGAGAGGAAGAAGCAGTTACTCCAAAGGAAGCCAGATTCCACTTTTGATAGTGGGGACAAATGTGGTCATTTCTGGAGACAAATCCTGTGGTGTGACGAAAGGCTGGCAGCGGCATGTCGTGGGGTTATTTTGCTAAAGGAAGGGTTGGTGCATGAAGAAAATCCTGAGATACTGAAGCAACATATCAAGATATCAGCTGGGAACAGGAAGCTTAGCCACAGTCGGGTCTTCAAAACTGACAATCACCCAAAACATACTGCCAAGTTGGATGTTACGTTACTAAAAGACAACAAAATTAATGTTTCAGATCTCAGTCTGATGGAAAAAATAAATAAATAAATAAACCCTTCAGGCAGAGCTGAAAGTGAACCCACAAACCTGACCCAGTTGCACCAGTTCTTTCAGGGAAAATGGGCCAAAATTCCAGGAAATGAACACAAGAAGAAGAAATCATGCAGCTTACAAAGCGATTCTGTACAACCACTAATGAATGGTATGTAAACTTATGAATCTGAAGGAAGTTAAACATTCTGTTTAAAAAAATTCTGTCATTATTTAGACATTTAGGAGGTAATGTCGGCAATGTAACCCAACCCGAGCAGGAAGGACTTTGTCTGGTTTAACGTTGGAAAGCCAGAAAACAAAAACAAAAAAAGGGTTATGTTTGTACAGTTTGCGCAGATATCTGGTTTCAGTTGTAGCTATTAATAAACATCAATTATGATTCATAAATTTGGTTTTGTTGAAGTGCGAGGCCCGGGGAAATGGTTTCAGATTGCCTGAGACTCTCCTCTGATTGTTCTCAGCTGCGTCTCCATGGCTCTGTTGGGTCGGAGAGATTTTTGGTTTTCAGTGCAGCGTGACGCGATTTGATTTATTCCCCCCAAAAAAAAAAAAAAAAAAAATCTTCTGCTGATTGTTCGTCAATAGTCGAATCAGCAATAATCTCCCACTTGCCATTAAGCTTGAAGTGCCGCGGCCTCCTGAATGAGCAGACAAGCTTTAGTGGGTTTTCCATGCGGCGTGCAGACAAATGCTGTCAGAAATGATTATTAATTGGAGCGTCACATTTAATGGCAGTAGCTGCAACACTTCAAAACACTCATAAGTCAATGCTCAGCGGCTCTTGAAACTGCTCGCCCATTTAGGATTAGTCGCTGGGACTGACAGATAAATGCGCAGATGACAGCCTAATCCCTAAATACTGAAGATATGTCAAACCTCTCAGTGCGGCTTCCGTTTTCGCCCAGTGACTTTAGCCTTATCCTCGAGGCAAAATGCTGCCTAGTAGGTTCCTCCGAGTTGCTCTGTGTATCCACTGTTGACAAAGTGAATTGAGTGATTAAGCCGCAGCTCCAAAGAGAGCCAGTGGGCCGGTAAAGCTCCGGTCTACTCCCAATAAAACTGCAAATTTGCTCAACAAGCTAAAACCTGCTGTGTTTTTTAGCGCCGAGTCTCTGGCACGGTGCGAGGACAAAACGAAAACCTTTGCTTTTATCCAGTGCAGAAATCTAAGCAGATCCCCTTTCTGCTAACTCTATACATTTACGCCCATATTCCCCGAAGAGCTCCCAAAATGCCTTCTCCTTGTTTTCCTGCATCGTTTCCCTCCTTCGTCCCAGCCTTGCGGTCCTATACTGTCTCTATTATAGGGTTATAAACAAAGTAACCAAAATTAGAGCAGCTCTGCATCCAGTTGTCAGGGCCAATCCCAGATGTGGGCTTTGAGATGGACCATGCTGCAGTGTAATTTAGACCTGAGGCCACTGACTTGCATGTAACCCGTCTTCCCCCCTCCTGCACACGTTCCCAAACACACAAAACCCCCGCATATGCTCTCCGTGTTCGGGAAAAGCATGTGCAGCAATGTTGCTGTTTATGTCAACTGTGCTCCGAAGTATTTCTTACAATAATGCGCTTCACGGAGGAATCTCTGTGTTGCTTCCAGCTTAAGAGTGCGAGGGCGAGGTCTTTGTTTACAGTGGCGATAAAACCCAGTTCATCCCGACAACATGAAATGAGGGAGTCGGAGTTGCATTCCTTTTTCCCTGCTTAGTGTGCGAAGCTTGGGGAGAAAACAAACCCCAACGACAGAGCTTTAGGTTTGGCTTTAAAAGTGAAAACGAATGCTGGCACGTTGAGAATCATCTGGGCTGAGATTAAAAGAAGACACTTAGGACAATTGAAATAGATCTCTTTGTCTGGGTCCAACAAAAGGCAAATATTCCCTTTGCGGATCCCCTTGGACTTTGCTGAGTCAGACAAAACAGGAAATTGGAGGGCATTTGGGCGACAGTCGAGCCTTTGACCTTTGAACCCCCAACACTCCCAGTCTTTGAAGTCCAGAGGGAGAATCATAAGCAATTACATGCAACGCCGAGAGCGTCCCCTTGAATGTTTGGCCCGCGCTGCGTAAACAGAACCGGAGCGTCTCGGAGAGTGTTTGGCAGAGCCGTGGGTGTCGTCCTTCTAAGGTCCATCATCTGGACTCTGTTTTTTGGGCCTTGTTTTGTCTAAACCGACCCACACACTGCGCGCCGTTTGGGTCGCAGCGAAGTGGCGCTCGTGCACAAACCGGTTTCTTCGATTCAAAGAAACCCCTTTAAAAGACCAAAACCCGGCAGATGGTGATCCACTTCTCCTCACTATTTCTAGAATTGCCATCATCCGGCTCAAAGATGACACCGGCCGGCCAGCGTTCACAGCTCCGGCCGGAGCCTTAAAAGGAAGCTGTCAAGAATTCCTGCAGCATTTGACTCCTGAGTGTGGGTGGGTGAGTGTGTGCGTGTGTGTGTGCCTGCTTGTTTAACTCTTGTTTAGAGGACATGCATCTGTTTGCAGCCACTCTGTGGCAGCCTGAGGAAAAACAACAAGAAAACAGAACGAGCCTCTTAAGTTTTAAGGTGAACACTTTGTTTAGAGAGAGGCAGGTCACTTTTATGGCCACAGTTATGTCTGGAGGGAATTTACTGAAGTCAGCGTAATGTCCTGTGAAGTGATGGAGACATTTTAAACTTAAGTCGTGGTGGCAAATGCTCCACCCTCTTAGGGATTAGGGGATTGTCACCTCTGCTAAACGTCTCACTTCGTCCCACTGCCAGGCTGTCACCTGCTGCTGCTTGTCACCACCGCAAAACTGAACGCAGATCAATAAAACCACAAAACGACGCATCTGAAGTCTCAACATGCATGCCACAGTTAAATATAGATGAATTCAATGAATCAAATCACACCTCAACACCAGGCGCCGCCTTTAGCCTTTCGAAAACATAAATTCATCTGTAAATATGGAACTGCGGCGTGCATAATGATGAATTTAAAGTTGGCGTGTAAACACCTTGTTGAAAACGATCTATTCCCGTTTAACTGCTGCTGGTTAAAATGTCTGCTACTGTCCGAGCGAGGCGAATATGAGGTGAAGCAATCCCAAAAGGCCGTAAAGGTGAAAATCAAGTTTAGTGCATCTTTTATGTTTCATGGTGAGCTAAAAATGAATAGATTACACCCTTTGATGAAGTTCGCCAAGTTTGTTATTAACCAGTTTGGTTTCTTTGAGTCATTTTTCATGGAGGTAAAAGCAGCTTAAAATGAACTACAGTTAGCAGAGTCGGGGTTAACTTCAACACACACATTGTCCAAAAACAAAAAAATAACTATCGTCCTCCGGCCACTTCTTGTTGTCTCCTTCGTAGTTTTTACCAGTAGTAGCATCCGGCCGTTGATCACATGACTCGGGTGATGCGAAAAAAGTGTTACAATTGCAATTTTCTATTTCAATACAGATGGAAAACATCTCATTCGTCTAGCAAAACTTTTTTTCAAAGTTAG